AACCTTTAAATTTTTTAATTAAAACTTTTTTGTAACGTATGAAATAAAATATAATGCGCACATTGCCAGTACGTTCCTCATATATAATTCCTCAAATCTTTTTTATCAGGTTAATTATTTAATTATGATTTAAAAAATTATTCGGCCTTTCCATGAAGCAGTCGCATTTAAATATTTTACTGATTAAATACTTTTAGTCGAAATATTTGAGCTTAATAATAAGATTATTATTCTTTTAAAGGACGACGAGAATTTGCGCGCTAATCTGACATTGGCGATAGCTTATTGCTGCGATTGGGATCAGAACAGTTACGAATTTGGCAAACTAAATGCTGTTGCGCCGCTCGTTAATTATATGATCAGCAAGAACAAGAACGTGTTGAAGGGTGTTTGTATTGCTGTGTACCATTTGAGCAAAGAGCCCTTAAATTGCGTGACCATGCACACTTGTGGCGTTATCAAGGTACAATTAGGCCATAGAAATTTGCATACGTGACAATATCGCTGTTAAAGAACAATTGTTTCGTAATTTTACGAAATTAAATCTTGAAATTAAAGATCTTATACAATAATAACAAAGGGTTATGAGAGTAAAATGCGGATATGAGAATAAAATTGGAGCGTATTTAATATTGTATATTATTCCTTATTAATAAATATAAAATTCGATTCTTTTTTTGAGTCTTTATCAGCGATATATTATTTCCATAATCAATGAGATGAAGTCACTTCATTCTAAATGGAAGCTACTCTTGAATTGACAGATCCAAAGTGAAAGAACATCAATGTTGGATTCTTTCACTTTGAATCTGTCAATTCAGGAGTATATCTCGCTAATAAAGACTCAAAAAAAGAATTGAAACATTCGAATTTTATATTTATTAGTAAGGAATAATATACAATATTGAATATGCTCCAATTATTGCGTTTTACTCTTATACACCTTTATTATTACTGTTTAATTTTGAGAGGCACAAAGATATAATTCATTAAAGATCTTATCTTATTTGAAAATAAATATTTTTTTCAACATATTAATTTATAATCACCAGTATTGTAAATGTAAATAGTCTATGAATTGATAGAGATATTTTCTATAAATAGAATGTTCAACATAAAAAAATAAAAGTTCCAGATATACCTATACAGTACAGAACTCGCAGCAATATTGCTGCAATATTGTTGCAGTATTGTTGCTGCAACTTTTGTGCTGTAGGAGTATATTTAAGTTACTTTAACTCAATTTGATTGATTATCTTCTCCATATATCGAAACGACGAATTGTAGAAATCCTGAATATTGAAAACTATCAATGAAAATTTTAAACAGTACGTATTACGCTTGGTGGGCTCGGATGATCCAGAGGTACAGATTGCAGCTGCATCTACTATTCGTCACATAAGAAAGCTTGCGTTGACAGCAGAGAAATTCCACTTCAAAGAAATGTAATTCTCTCACATCTCTCTTTTCATGAATTTGAATTCTAAAGAGCACAAATTCAATTTATTATTTTATTTATAATATCGGCAAATAAAACAATAACAAAAAGTAAAAAGAGCTAAGAGCAAACGCTAGTTCTTGATTGCTAATATTTACTGTCTTTCAAATTTTTCAACAAACGTTTCGATCTTAAATTAGAACCTTTTCAATGTTAATATCTAAAAATAAATTCTATACCTTATATAATAAGTCAAATATTAAAACAGATTTGAATATTATAAATTAAAATTCTTCTAAATTTGCAATGAATACAATTTTCATAAATCGCTGTCATTTCTTCATTAATCAAATTATTTCAATGGATATCAATTGTGATATAATGATTTTCGAATTGATATACATTTCCAATAACTAAATCTAATTTTAAAATTATCCAGTATGAGAATAAATCAAGAACAATGCATGTAAATAATATTTAAATGTAAATAATATTTAAGCATGTAATTAATGTTTAATATTTAAGCTTTTTTGTACCTGAATTGAGATTCTTACTTTTTATTATATCTATTGTAATTGATTCGCATTTGAAAGATATAATAATGCAAAGATGTCATGAATTCTTCAAATTAAAAGGATTATTTTATAAACGTACAAAGACTGATGATACAAACAACAGAACAATGGAATAAAGAATTGAGAAGGAAAGGAACATTAAGTGGGGGACAATAGTAGTATATTAGAAGATATGATTCTGGCTCTTAGCTCTTTTTACCTTTTATTATTGTAATATGAAAACAATGCTACGTAAGGCTCAGTTAATGTAAATCAATGGAAATGTATAATTTGTTGAGTCAGCTGCTGATTGTACGTGTGAAATTGATTTACATTATTAAATGTACATACGTTTCGATCCACGCTTTGGATCCTTTTCAATATACGGTACTATCTGAAGTCCGTCCTAGTTGCTTTCACTACGTCATTATTTCCTGGTATAGTGATAATTAAAACGCTTGATGGAATAAGAAACGGTTAACAGTTCAATGTTTAAGATTCATCGGACAAAGACACTAATAATTTAATCCTTATTGGCAAATTTTTTAAATTTTATTTGCAATATTTCTAAAATGCATATTCATTTCGTCGTAATTTATTTACGAAAACTTACAAGTCAATTCTGAGCAGAATCGCAAGACTTGTTCTCGTGTAACGTGTTCTCGTAAAACTTGTAAGAACTTCTGATTAATATCCTAATTTTATAGATATATATCATAAGACATACGATTATTTGTAAATATCTACAATTTCTTGTAAATTTTATGGCTAGTAAGAAGTTGTCTAAAAATATTGTATAAAGGTATAAGCGTTTAAAAATTCTTACAAGTCTTACAAGAATATTGTTACGAATCTTACGATTCTGCTTAGAATTTACGTATTAATTGTGCATTCATATATATATATATATATATATGTGTGTGTGTGTGTGTGTGTGTGTGTGTGTGTGTGTGTTCGCGCGCGCGCGCGTGTGTATGCACATTTGTGCTCTTCAGAGTTAAAATAGTTTGCTTTTACTATTTAATTAATGCTGTATATAATCATTGTTCGCAGGAACGCGTTACAAGAAATTGATTTCCGTTCATGAATAACATCAGTTATCAGTGAAAGACAGAAAAAGTGAGAAAGAAAAGGAAGTGTGTAAAATAAAAACATTTATTTATTGCGGTGCGTGTATAGTGACTTATAATTTTTGTCAATACCTCTAAATTTACAATTTTATTTAAAACCCGTAATATTCATCTTTCGGCAACAAGTAGTAACATTCATATGTGTATAAAGAACTTTAAAAGTGACGGAAGATATAGAAAAATTAGATTTTCATAGAATCCACAAATGGAACACCGACTTGGTCGGACAAATGGTTATTAAGTTGTGGCTTACAAGACGGTGGCTTAATTTGAGCAATATACATATCTCCTAAGCTTATACTTCAAAATCGAAGCTGTTTAAAGATGTTGGTAGATTATATTATAAACATAAGACAATCGCATGCAAGTTACGATACAATCTCACATATATAATGTACAAATTTTAAGCTAATTGTGCGTGTCGTTTCATTGACGACTCATGAACTAACTAGAAGGCATAATACCTGATTTGTTTCAAACGTCTTGCCTTACATCACGATATAACAATTGAATGACAATACTGTCATCAAAAATTTCAATTTTTAATTAAATTAGATTTATCGACGTATATCTTTACGTATTTGAATATATCATATATTGTTTCCGATTATCTTGAATCTTTGCTATTTTTATATATTTAAATCAATCTTACCAGTTTCTTATCAACAATGCCTAATAAACAACTTACCTATTAAAACATACCTAGTAAAAGCCGTTTCACCAACATTGATTCTTATCTATTTCAATTTTAATATTATAAATATTTTAAGATAAAAAATCGAAATATTAACAATATAATCAACGTTACTCCAAGAAATAGTTATTTTAGAAAAAGATTATTAATTAAATTACATGATTGTTGAGTACCAGCATAGCATAATGGACAGCGTGCGAATCTATCATGCTATATTATCTGGAACTAAAGTTCGATTCTCGGCAGATCCAAGAAATTTTCGCGCGCAGGTAGCTCCTCTTTGGCGGTTCTGGCAAATCACCAAGAGTGTGCCATCTATTACCAAGAAAATTTCTCCAATTGCTGTTCGGAATGCCGTTCATTCATTAATTAATGAATGACTTTAATGTTGGTGAAACTTTCCTCTAAAATTATAATATTTTAACACAAGTATATCATCAAAGATTACGGAAATGGCAAAAACACACGATCAGTCTATCCTATTTATACAAAAACACTCCAAGTTTTGTTTTCAGCTAGCTCAGAATCTCTATAAACGATAGCCGAGCTTATCTGAAAATAAAACGCTTATTTCCATACTGAAATTTTTTTAAAATCATTTTGCAATTCTGAAAGCAGGCTATTGTACTGTAAATGATTTATTTTCAGAGGGAGGCTTTTTTCATTCGTGCATCCTTCGTATTTACTATCTATTCACAATTTTGGATAACTTTGGTTTTCCCTGATCCATTTGAAAGTTGCTTATAACATCTAGGATAATCAAAATTTCTATTCGTTTGGCATTTTCTTCATCTTTGTAGTCGTTAATGTAACAACGCTCGGTAATATTCGGTAAAGCACAAAATTCACGCTCTCTCCGCTAGGAATGAGTAAAAAGGGAAAGACACAAATGGACTTTCTATTTGTTTGATTTATAGCTTCATTATTCTTGCTTGTTGGTCAGCAATGCTTCCGCCGCAGTCTTAACTGCTACAAGAATAACATTCTTATACTTATGTTTTCATTTATGTCGCAAATAAATGTCCACTGATATCCATATTTTTATTAAAATTATTTTTAATAGAATTATTCTTAATTTAAAAAATGATCTTACCTGTCTCACGTGCATTAGACAAAAATCTGTCTAATCCAGGTTGATACTGAATGAACTTTGGACGGATGATACGACGATATAGAATCAAGGAACCATTATACTCGGCAATTGGCGCCATCAACCATACATAGAATACACACTGTGTACAAATAATTAATAATATTTGCTCTTGGTAAGATTTGTCTTTAAGATTAGTGCCTTCAGAATTATACCTTAAACAGCCAATAAACTGGAAACCAGGAGACAATATACTCGGAAAAGAATTCTACTATAGTAAATACAGCAAAAACCACCCAATAAGTGAGCCATTTTGTGTCATCCTCTTTCTTAGGACTTTCCAATGCTTTCATAGATTGGTATGCAGGGTAAACAAAACCGACTATATTACATACTAGCTGTTGTCCTAATCCAAATACCAGATATATAGCCAGCAATATTAATGATCCTATTGATAAATAAATAATAAAAATAGTAATAATAATAACTTAATCTTCCTAAAGTACTCCTATTTTAAATTCAACATGCTGTCGTTTGCAAAAGTTTGTTAATGCAAACGAGCAAAAAATATGGGAGTGTCTGAAAGCGATATCGTCATGCAATAGTACGATGACCCCGAGCAAAGATCAACAGGTTGCAAATTTTCGGTAGATTTCGAAATATATTTATCAAAGAAAAAACAGCGCGACATGAAAAAGAAAAAAAACTGTGAAATTAGGTATTGCGTAATGAGTGCGCGATAACAAGTTGTACGAAAGTGCGAAGTCGCATTAACATGAGGCTAAATAATTATCTAAGCGTGATCGAGCCGGTCAATCGATAGAAATGACTAGAAATCTGCGTAATTGTATCACCCCGGGCAACTCACCGACAAAAATGTATAGCCGATCGATGCCGGTCTTCTCTTCCGCAAGGGCGAACATCTTTGTCCACGGTTTGCTCTCATCCTTCAACATTTTCTCAAGGTATTCCTTTACTGCGATGATTCGAGCCATTCTTTTTCGTGGAATAAACTGACTTTCAATAAAGATCGTACGCACAGCGTTGGTTAATCGTACACCTGTACCTGTTTGCCACTAGAGAGACATGGCCGACATTCGATATCGACTAATTGACACGTTCGATGCTTCTTTCTTTCTCGATCTCTCGATATCTCTCGAGATTCGACTCCTGAGATTTCTCGACTAATCGCTATTCAAAAATATCTTACTCAGCAGCACAACCAATTTGTTTCTACCAACATAGATTAATTTTAATCTCAGTTCAACTTACTCTTTACCTTTTTCTAATTTTTGTAACTACAAAAAGATGAAAATTTAGATAAACCAAGATTAAAATAAAACTGCATTGGTAGAAACGGGCATTTTCCCCAAGAAAGTATACAAAATTGATTTCCATCTGAGTAGTCCTCAGGTATCATGTTATCTTTAGACTTATTCTTTTTAATTAGGTGAACTTCTTGTATGGTTCATCTTTTCTTTTTTTTCTCTCCAATGTGGAAAAAAAAAAGAAAGATGGATCATGCAAGAAGTTTAGTTAAAAAGAACAGATCTCTTATTTTGAATTCTGTAAATGCAACAGACAAAATAATATCTGAGTGATACTCAGGTGGGAATTTTACATTGGGATATCTGAAACACATCCTTATATATCCTCTGAACTTCCTAAGAATATTTTTCCAGAATATCTCTCGAATAAAGTATGTGTAGGTTACTCGACAAAAACACAAATCGATAGAAATATCTTATTTTATCTTTTTTAACATTCAATGACAATAACAAAGACAGAACGATACTTGTATCTAATTCTGCCAAAATTTATCCTTATCTTTTTAACAAACGAATCATTTTTTATTTTTATAATAAATTTTTATTTTTTTTAGATTTATTTTTATTTTAACACATTATACCAAATGGATCTCAGATCTTAGGCGCACGTTGTGTATCGTAAAATAAAAGATCCTCTCATAGTAATTTTCACATTGGAAATAAATGAGGTTGTAAATAAATTTAATTCTCCAAATTATCAAAAATATGGATCTTTTTTTTGATACATGAATTGTGTTTGACTGCAACGTACAACGCGTGCGTATTAGAACATTACTAAGATATCTGTACGCAATAATTGCACTCGAATTAATCTGTTTCGACAATATATCAGTTCTTCTTTGACGAAACAATATACAGCCTCAAATTAAAAATCGTGTGCATGTACACTTCTATACAACTAGTTTATAAATCTATGAACAGTGAGGACGTGGCACAAGACTGTTATTAAAAATGATCTTTGAGCAGTTTCAAGCATTTACAGCTGGCCCTAGTCTGGTATGCAGTAGAGGATTGAAAGGTGACGTGTTTCGAATCCCCTTCTCTAAACATTCCGTATAAATGTCGGCAGTGAGCTCGTTGAGTGGAATCTCCTTGTCGTTCTTGGCAGCTTTCATAGCATCATCCACTGATTTTCTAATCTCACCTTCTATTGCCTGGGACAGAAAAATATTGCTTATCTACATAGATCATCATCAGATAACAATGAAATAAATTACTAATAGATAACATTAATCGTGAAATCTAACAAAAAACATTGACTAACTTTGATTTCGTCAGCAGTAGCAAGATTGGAATTCAAAATTCTCTCTTTAAAGCTGGTCAGAGGATCCCGGGTCTGTCGAACCTCTTGCACTTCTTCTCGCGTACGATAGCTGGTTCCAGGATCCGACATACTGTGTCCGCTATACCTGTACGTCACAGTTTCCATGACAATGGGGCCCTTACCTGATGTACAGTGATCAATTGCAAATTTCGTGGCTTCTCTCACGGCTAACACATCCATTCCATCCACCTATAATATAATTTTTATCATAAATCTCTTTACCTTAACAAAATACGAATCTTTTAAAATAGATTAACATACCCATATTCCAGGAATATAGTCGCCTCTGGTATAATACTCCGTGCTTGCCGCAGCACGTTCCACGCTGGTACCCATTCCGTATCCATTATTCTCGCAAACAAAGATGCAAGGTACATCCCACAGTTTAGCCATATTATATACCTCGAACACCTGACCCTGATTGGCCGCGCCGTCGCCGTACAATGTTAAACAGACTCCACCATTATTCAAGTATTTTTGTGCAAAAGCGATTCCAACTCCCAATGGCACCTAATTGTGATAATGTTAAAATATTTTTAAAAATTGTAATATTAATGATATTAAATTGAATTTTAAGACTAATGCAAACCTGAGCGCCAACAATGCCGTTTCCTCCATAAAAGTTCTTAGAGTACATGTGCATGGAACCACCCTTGCCTTTGGCATTGCCACCTTGTCTGCCTGTGAGTTCCGCAAAAACGCCGAATACATCAATGCCCATTAAATAAGTCCATCCGTGTGCGCGATAAGCTGTAATTACAGCATCCTGAGGTCTCATCGCAGCTTTCATGCCAACTGCACAAGCTTCCTGCAAAGGAAAAGCAACAAAAATTAAAGTATTTCTGAATCAAATAAATATTTTGAAAATATTTGAAAAGATACAAATGGTCTTTACTTGTCCAGAATACAAGTGACAGAAACCCCGAATGATCTTCTCTTTGTACAAGTTGCCAGCAACCGTTTCCATACGACGTATCGTATGTAGCTGTTTAAATAGTTCAATAGCATCATCCCGAGTCACTGTAACCTGAGTGGATGGACCATGATCCAATTTGTGTAAACGAAAAGGTTTGGTCTCGAAAGAGGCTTCAGTGGCATAATTATTCTTCTTGCTCAAGAAAAACGAAGCCACCTAGAAACAGTATCTAATTAGTATCTGTAGCAATGTAAAAACATATTACAAGTATAATTGTAGCGCGTGCGACAGCGTGAAATTTACATTATCTTGTGAATCAGTGGTTGTGTTTCTTGGAAAACTCAAAATTCTGCGTTTTTGTGTTAACATCAAGTTCAAAGCAAACATAATGCGGCAGCAAACCGCAGCACAACCGAATCGCGAGAATGATAATTACCTCGTTCCAGCTTCCAAACTGGCGAATATGCGGGATATTGAGGAAAGAAGAAGACTCATGAAATACGGTGTCGCAAGTAAGAGTATCTGGGATTCGTAACGAGACCCTGACACGGAAAACACGACGCGGCGTGTTTAGAGGTCATGTTTCGGTGCACTTACATTTCGTCTCGACGACTGCACGGCGACGTTCCTGAGACAGTTTGGTATCATTTCCTAACAATGGAGAAGAGATGAGTGAAAACAGAAGACGTTTTTCGCTACGTCGAATCCAGTGCAGAAGACTGAAACCTGAGACCGCTTGGTCGATGTGAACCACCTTCACCTGACACAAATCAGATAGTGCACGATGGTGCACGAACGAATGCTCCGGAGTGTAGGTAGGATCATAGGGTGTACATGCGATTCCAATGATGGTCATAGTCAGGGCGCAAGACGCGCAACGAATTTTGCCAGACGCTTTTCCTTGTATATACATGAAAAATTCTAAGAAAAATTGTAGAGACTTTCCGAATATTTCTGAAACTACTTCTGAAATTATTCCAGTTCATATAAAAATCCTGAGAAAAATTTCCATCAAAGATATCAAATGTTGTTGTCGCCACGCTTGCGAATTTCTCACCTATTATTTTTGCAAATCGAAATTCCAGCATTTTTTATGAAGATAAGAAGTATTTCTTCTCCTCCTTGAAGTTCGCTACTTTATTATGAATGAGGTTGGATGGGGTGACACTTTCTACACTTCATAGCGCACAATGATAGCGTGATCATGTTTCTTTTAAAACGCAGGTGTTTTTTCACATGTGGAAAACAATGAAAAGCAATATAATAATAGGTATACTCCTCCAAACATTCTTTTTTTTTTACAATTGTCTTTAATATGTTTCCATTTTATTGTTCTTTGAAAATTTTCAGAAACGAATTAAAGTTGGAATGGAGGTCGATGATTCCAGCGAATACGACCGGAAGATTGTCTCCTTCAAAGACCTCGGCAGATTTAAATTAACAGAAAGAAAATACAACGATGATTCTCTTAATATATATATAGCGAGGCTGAATGATTTGCGGGAAGACACATTACACAGAGCGAAACTGAAATGGAGTAAGCCATATTTATACGCTCAGAATTTGTTTCTACATACGTTATTTATAGTTTATGTATATTGTAGCCGACTATCAACATGTAGAAGTTTCACATCTGACCCTGGAAAGCTCAGGAAGGTCTTATATTCTGATAGGAGTACTTTATAAAGATCAGAGGCTGAAACCTTCCCTTCTACGCGACCTCAGCAAGGAGCTTCAGCTGGAAGCTCAACCGAGTAATAATTATGCATCAGTTGACGACCAATTATTTTTGGAGGATGAAACGTTACGTGTAAAATTAGTAGGAAATCACATGGATATACAGGAAGTAGTCACAGGGCTCGTCTGTGCAATACTTGGACATGAATTAGAAAATGGAACATTTTTGGTATATATTTACATAATTATGGCTATAGACAAGATTCCAGCTTGTTCATGTTGAACTTTGCTCGTAGGTAGAGGATTGGTGTTTTCCAGGATACTACCTGAAGCCTTCCAGTGTGAGCAGCTCATTGGTAGAAGATGGAAAAATTCTGCTAATATCTGGATTAGATCTCGTTAATAACACGGACGAGTTCAGCTTAGATTTACTTTCAGAATGGATAACTGGAATGGCGGGATGTACTAATGTTCAAAAAGAAGAAGCTGCAATTGCTAAAGTCATTATCGCTGGTACGAATACTAAATCGTCCATATTTTCTAACTAGCGATTTTAAATCATATATAAATAATTGCATAGGAAACTCCATCCGTAGTTCTACAAAAATATTCAGCCACAAAGGCTATCATGAAATCAAATCGCACGACCAGCTTAAAATCAAAGAAGATGTAATAGCAATGCATAAACTTGATGCTTTTCTCAGCAATATTCTTAATTACTGTTGCGTTGTTCTAATGCCGGGAGAGTTTGATCCCACTTGCAATTATAGCATGCCTCAGCAGCCTTTTCATCCATGTACTTTAGAAAAATCGGTCAGGTAATAGTCAGGATATATTTAAGCTTTGCTTCAAACTTTAGATAATACAGTTTAGATGTAATACAGGTTTAAAAGCATGCATGGTGCGACTAATCCTTGGATCGCTAATATTGGAGGTCGTGTTGTAGCTGGTTCTTGCGGCGGACCAATCATGGATATTATGAAAATCGCTGGATTATCCCCGCTATCTTCATTGGAATGGTTGGAGCGTACATTGATCTGGAGGCATTATGCTCCAACCGGTCCCGACACACTTCCAATTTATCCGTTTTTCAAAAATGATCCATTCGTTATCAACGAATGGCCAGATATATATTTCGCTGGAAACATGGATGAATACGATACAAAGTTAGTTACAGGTAGGTATTTTTTTTTACCTGATTTACCAATTTTTGTTCATGACGAAATAATTCATGTATATCATATATAGCTGACGAAGGGCATGCGGTACGATTGATATGTATTCCGAAATTTTCGGAAACAAAAACAGCGGTGCTAGTCAATTTACAAGATTTGACGACACAGCCTATTTCATTCGGTGATAGACTGACGTAATTTGTATATTATATAAAATATTCTGGCGTCTAATCTCCTCCTTGTTATTTATGCTCCACCTCGCTCTATCAACGACAGACAAGTGGAAGCATTTCGACTCATCGAGTCGAGTATTTTGGATAGGCCTGATATAAAAGATAAAATAATTGTTTATTACGTAATTATATCATTGCAAAGTATTGAAAAACACAATGTCATATCTCCATATAAAAGGAGTATAGAAGATTAATAATATAAAATTTGAATCCAAAGTTTCTCAAATATATAATTTAATTTATTCATTTGAATTTATATATTATAACACATATACTTTATATGTATAATAAATATATAATTATTTATTACAATTAGCCCATTTGTCATTGTATATACCTTAATAATACGTATCACATAAACTAATAAAAGATAAAAAAATGTAAATTTCTTACAAAATAATTTATAACACAAATAAGTAATAAGATTTTACAGTTTTGTAACTCATTTGTTATTTGCAAAAACGTACGAAACTTTAGTAATTTGTTAAATCTCTTCATCACATATCATATACGAACATTGATACATTAATATATAACATTTCTTTAAATAATTATTTCTTTACATTATTTATTATCGAAAACTAATATAATATAATGTTCTATATGAAATCAAATGCTATAATATTACTATCTATAATATAATATTCTCTATTATATTATTCGTTTCTGCGATGAATACTATCTTTCTTTGGCACAAACAGTTAGTATTTTCTTACTTACATCAGTCATAAGATACATTGTTAATTTTAATAAGACTTGCACAAATATGTACGAATATTGGAGTTTTTTAAGGCATAAATATATGCACGATTAAAAAAAGGAAGACTAGTCGAAATGCCGTTAAAGAAATTTCAATTCGTCATTCATCCCAGTATCGTTTAGTGCCGTAATTTTTCAGAGGCCTGTAATATTATCCTGGTCTTTCTCCCATCGCGAATGTTTGTTTTGATAAAAATGTTGAGTCTCCGAACTACAGGATCTGGAGGCAACAGGAATGTTTACACAAACAGTAGTCGATTCCAATCGTTGTTCGTTGTTCGACGAATCTTGACGTTCAGAGCTGCTGCTTTGCTGATCCTCTGACTGCTCCTCGCTTCTCATGGCGCAAATTACGTCCGTAAGAGCCACTATATAATTTTTAGCCAGTGTTAATGTCTCCATTTTTGAGAGCCGCTTCTCTTTGGTAACATGCGGGATCACTTCGCGTAAGGACTATAAAGATAAATTCATTAAAATGAAGTCTTACAAAATGAAAAAATTGTATATTGCGTATATGATTAGAAAAAGATTTTTTCAAAAAATATCAAAAACAAATATTTGTTAAGATTCTATTAGTTTTATATTTTAGATATAATGTATTGTATAACAGTAGCTTTGTATGCACCTGGAACGCATCGTTCATACAGTGCATCCGCATACGCTCGCGTTCATTACTTTCCAGCCTCCTGAGAGTTCTCTCCCATGCTGTATTTCCTTTGGAAGGTTTCGACAAAGATTCCGTTTTTCTTGTCGTTCGTCGTAGGTTCTTACTTCTCTGTTTCGATTCTGTAGCCCAAGTGTTCTCATTTGTCACTTTAGACCGCATAGTATAATCCTTCCTTCTAATGAAGTAATAATTAAATTTCATCGGTCACAATTTTAACAGATTCCTCTTCTCATTTTCAAACTCTGGCGGAAAAGTTTTTATGAAAAATTATAACATAGAGTGAAACAAGATCTTAGAAATTTTTAGTTTTCCATAGATATTATTTGTAATGAGCCGTAGAGTCTTATTTTTTTAATTAAGAAATTCTTTGTTCTCAAACAAATCTCATGCATATTCTACGTTTCGCTATAAATATCTATGAAAAATTAAAAATTTTTAAGATCTTCCCTGGTGAAAATTTTTCTCAGAATTTCTATATAATTTTATAATTTTATAACTTTCTAACATTTTTTATACGAATTAGAACAGAAAATTTTCATCTTTTCTCAGAATTTTTCATATACATCAATTATAAAATATTGTAAGATATCTAAGATTTTTTAAATAAGTATAATTTCTGAAATATTATAAAATTTAAAAAATTTAAAAATATTTTTTTTAAATTATAGAATGAGAAATTTCAAAATATTTCTGAAGAGAAAAGAATATTTCAGAATTCACTTGTATAAAAAAATTCTGAGAGAAGATGTAAACTTTTCGAATATTTCTGAGTATTTCTGAAAAATGTTCCAATTCGTATAAAAATTATAAGAAAAATTTTCACCAGGATTGTCTCAATCTATAGTTTTTCTCCCTACTGAAAAAAACTTACTTACTGATTTGGAATAATCTGTTACGTGATTTACTTATCTTAATTGCATGATTTCGTTGTGTAACTTTATGACGTGATTTTTTTCAGCAGAGCTACTTTTTCGTAAAAATATTTTTCCGCCAAGGACACATATCTTTCTATATCTATATACCTTTTTATATTTGTCTCCAAATTATAAGCAAAAAGAGAATCAGAATAAAAATATATTAACAAATTGAAGATACAGAATTGATGCATTGACATTTTCTATTACTTCTTACCAATATTGATCAGATCGTTGACTAATCGATGTTAAAAATGACCTATAATCGTATTTTCACAATTCGTGCTGTATATTTCATCGATTTAATACATTTTAACATCGAATAACTGTATGACAAGTCACGTCATAGATTTTCCAAAATTTCAAACCGTGTACTAAGCACCGCGTGTACTTGTTGAGCCACGCTGGAACAACGACTGACGTTGCGACGCCGGGGTGCGGCCGGCGCCGTCTTCCACCCCCGATATTTTATCATGTACTCTGTGCTCTTTTCTTTTATCTACATCAGTAATCTCGTCATGTATTCGATATATCATTGTTTTATCCTCGTACACTATTCTCTAATAATACGAAGTAACAAATATTTCGATATTCAAAAAAATACTTTCCGATTGAAAATGTTTTAATTTATAGAAATTAATTATAACTTAGCTATTCACATCTTTTTTCCATAAAACTTTTTACGATCTTGTCGAGATGTTCTGTAAATAAGTTGGAATAATCAATATTGTAACTAAATATGTTCAATTTACATATCTAAAGTTTTTAAATAATAAAAAGCGAGTGGAAAAAAACGAATACGAACAAGTGTTATGCCGTGCTTTGCACACCCTTTATATTCCGGTGTCTACGTGTGAGCGGGCTACAGGTGGGCGTATGACGTAATTCGCCCACGCGGACCCTCCTATCTACCCATTATCACTCTGCTAGCAACAACTTAGGGATGACGGAGGTTTAATATAGACAGACTTCAAATGCACCTGCTCGAATTTATATCAACATCTAACGAAAAACTTATTAAAAAGCAAATTGAGCAACTTATTAAAAAAGACAAACTAAGCAATCATGATAGGACAAGGAGAAATATTTACATTTAATTTAACAGGTTAACAATTTCATAACAAATTTAAATTGCATATTTATTTGTCTATTCTTTATTTGTCCATTTTACATTTACCACAACAAGCATCAGTTTTTTCCAATTCAGATTCCTTGTGATTAGCGGTCCACGGTCCAAGGCTGATCGTAGCATAGAAATCCATGGGATAAGGTCGATCCTTATCGAACTCTGCCATTCTAAGAGCGATAGCGCCTTCATAGGGTGTGAGAAATGGTTTCTCAAATGCGACACCCCAGTCAATGCTCAATCGTGGACACGCAATCTTGAATAAAATTTATTGATATAGTTTAACATACATAAATTTTTTTAACTATATATTAACTATAACTCGATCAAATATTTTTTTTTTTCAGCTCTTTTTGAAATTATATATTTCCTCCAAATATGTATATATATTTTTAATTTAAAAATATTTAATTTAAATATTTTCCTACACACTTCTCATAAATTAAATACAATAATATAAAATAAACTAAACGTAAAAATATTAATAAAGGAAGAGAAAGACGAGTAAATTTTTGAAAACTGATATTTATCTCATGAGAGATCGTACTTGTATAAAAGCGTCAACATCTTTGAATAGCTTGATTTTATCCGGGAATATTTCCGATAGTAATATCACAACATTCTCCTTTCCTAAAGCCTCAATTCTATTTTGCAGAGTTTTCAATACACGAGGACTGCCCTGTCTGCCTAAAGTGCTAAGCACTAAAGCATATTTGTTGGTTTTGATAGCACGTTGTATCGCCTCGTGTCTAGTCTTCAACATTCTTTCATGATCATAAAACTCTTCGGTTAATTTCTTTGCATATGGATCATACTTGAACGCTCTTAGCTTAGGATTAGCAATCATAACAGCTTCTAAATGAAATCGACCATCCCCTATGTACATCACTGCATCAGCGCAGCGAACCTGTGGTGCTGTACATCCTAAAATCTTTAAAAGCCGTTACCTATTTATTTATTGTATCATATTAATGATTAAATATATTAAAGAATGTATTGTACTTCTCCAGGACTAAGTGGCTTGCTTTGTGGCACTGAGATTTCATATCCTTCTCTTCTCAATTCTGCTGCTACCGCTTGTACTGTTGTAGCAAACTGTATTGTACTAACTAGTGCTATCTTTGTGGTAATTGGTAGAGTTACTTTCAAGCAGTCCACGCAATGCGAAATGTCAATTTTTATATTAACAAACACATAAAGTACTTTGATACCAGCAGTCTGATCTACTGGTATAAGACACGAGTGTCCATAGTGGACCAGAAAATCTGCATCCAATGCTCGTGTCGTATAATCATCTACACAGCATGCTCCTATAATAAAAGGATATTATAAAATAGTGAAAGCATTGGATTGACTCATTCAATTACCATAAGTGACATCAGCCATAATAACAGTTTCTGCTTCAGTAAAGTCTTCAATGATGTCAGCTATAGTTGTAGCATACATCAGAAGACCTTCTGGCATTTGGAGAACTACTCGCTTTGCCTTGGCTTCTCTGATTCTCCATATAGTCTTGTGTATTTCAAAATTATAATTCGTGGGTAAAGCGGCTATGGCAGAATTTAGTAGAGGATCGTTCAAAAGTTCCTCGGGAATTTTGCTGACTCTCGTGGGAGCTTTGAAAACTTTGCGAATAGGCTTCGCCTTGATGACTACCACGTCGCTTTGTTCAGCCATCACCTCTAACTCGCAATTAACTAAATTTTTTGAAAATATTTTAATACGTGATTTACATAAATTATATTATATTTTCTATTAGCAGCAACTATTCGCAACGAGCAAATAAAAAGTAGATACAAGTTAGGTTAAGATTAGGTTAGGGACAAGATAAATACGTGAAATATATAAAACTGCACCTCGATGTTTTAACAGAACTTACTACATATATGAACTGCACATTTCAATATATTTACCTTCAATATATTTACAATATATTCGATATATTTACCTTTAAGTGAATAATAAAAGAAAATATTAATTATTAGAAAATAAAAAAAATAAAATTTCAATCAGGTCCCACCGAGATTTGAACTCGGATCGCTGGATTCAAAGTCCAGAGTGCTAACCATTACACCATGGGACCTTATATGAAAGACGTCCTCTCTATTATCACCTTTAAGTATAACATATATAAAATACAATTCAAAAGAAAATAGTTTTTTATAAAAAAAAAAGAAGTCGAAATGTTTTGTATGAGGTTTCATTAAAAAAAATAAACTTAAAAATAGCAGAATTAATAACATGCTTCTACTCTCAATAAAAAAATCAACCTTCAAAAATATATAAATTTTTCGCCATCTTTCTTTCTTCATTATCGATATATCTTTTTATCGATTTTTAATTTGTTAGTTTCTCATCAATTCTAGTAGATGTCCCTTTTTCGTATTTCCTTCCTTATCTACACATTTTCTAACCTCAAATACCTCTGATACTAATCATTTGAATATACGCCAACTTTGCTTATTGTTCCCGATTATTCTGCAAGCACGCGAGTTTACACGTGGTCTATGTGACTTAATTTTGTAAACAATTTTTATATATTAATATTATGGATGCTCACGATCTTTTCAAAAAGCTTGCAATCGGTGCTAAATTTGATGTAAAACGCTTTCGAAAAGATGCAGAAAGATTTCAGGTAATCAATTATTCAATCCTTAAAGGATATGTTTTTCATGTGCTCATTTAAAATTATATTTTGCTAGATTATGAAACCAAGTAAAAATGAAGTCGAAATAAACAATACAATTGAGAAAATAAAAGACGAAGTATTAGAACCTATAGAAAGCAAAGCAAAAAGAAAATATAAAGATGAAAACGAAGATGTTGATGAAATAACATTACTGAATGGATTATCGATACCGAAAAATGGAAGTGTTCCAGTTAAAAAACGTAAAAAAGTCACAACTGCTGACAAGATATTAAAACTGGAACAAGAAAAGGTTTGATATTCTATAGTGAAATTACAGCTGTTACTTTTCACAAAATTGGAGAATTCATATTTTCGATACTTTGTGTGAAATTCCCAAATACTTTAAACTTAGAAGATTTAGAGTTAATTTTGGAAATTTGAATTCTTTGTAATCTTCGAAATAATAGGCCTAATATAAATGTAAAAAAATATTTTTTAACATATCTAAAATATCTTTAATTTTTCAGATAAACCATCTGAGGAACATGAATCGTATTTCAGTCACAGGCAATCATGTACCTAGATTAATATTAGAATTTAATGAATTAAAAACTAACTATCAGGTGTCAGAAAATTTGTTAAATAATATGAAAAACAGTGGATACTTATATCCAACACCAATACAGATGCAAGCAATGCCAATTATGTTAGAAGTAAGTGAATTTTTATAATAAGCTGTGTAATAAAAATATTTTTAACAAGTATTGTTTTAATAAGTTTTTTTTTTTCAATGACAGGGTAGACAGATACTGGCTTGTGCCCCGACAGGATCTGGAAAAACTGCAGCATTTTTATTACCAATCATTCATAATTTACGAGGACCACAAAAGAAGGGTTTTCGCGCTGTTATTTTAAATCCTACAAGGGAGTTAGCCAAACAGACTTATAGGGAATGTTTGAAATTGAGTGACGGCTGTGACTTTAGAATTCATATAATTAGTAAAGTGAATCAGGCTCTTATTAAATATGGGCCTTCAAGCTCGCAAAAGTTTGGTGAGTTAGCTAGTGTGAAAATTTTAATATAGAAATGATCTTAAATTAAATTTATTATTTCTGTTCCAGATATTTTAATTACTACACCAAAGCGATTAGTATTTCTCTTAAATCAAGATCCTCCAGCCATTTCATTAAATAAGTACGTTTTTTATAGTTACAATATATTGATTAAAATCACTTAAGCACAATAATATTCTTATTCTGTTTTTATAGTGTTGAATGGTTGATTGTGGACGAAGCCGATAAACTTTTCGAGGAAGGAATACGTGGTTTTAGGGAGCAATTAGAAGAGATTACAAAAGCCTGTGTTAGTACAAATTTACGTCGCAGTATGTTCAGTGCGACAAATACTCCAGCAGTGTCAAAGTGGTGCCGTTGTAATATGAAGGGTCTTATAACAGTAACAGTTGGACAAAGGTATGAGTTTGTGTGTCTTGATAAATTTTGTAATAACCATGGAAACTTTAAATAATTATGTTTCCTTTTTATTTTGTATAGAAATGCAGCTGCAGATTTGGTAGATCAGAAGCTTCTTTTTGTTGGAAGCGAAAGAGGTAAATTAGTGGAATTTAGAAACATTATTCAAAAGGTAGGACAATTTATTTGGAATGTTTTATTTATTTTTTTTGAATATTGTGATTAAACGTGTTTCTAATTATCTATAAAGGGTATATCACCACCGGTCTTAGTATTTGTACAAAGCAAAGAGAGGGCTCAAGAACTTTTTAATGAGCTTATATACGATGGAATTAATGTGGATGTTATTCACGCTGACAGAACAATGACACAGGTATGATAAAAAAAAGATTATTTCGCGCAATCTATCTAATTGTACATTAATCATTATATTCCTCTAGCGAGACAATACTGTGCGTTGCTTTAGAGAAGGAAAGATTTGGGTTTTGATCTGCACAGAATTAATGGGCAGAGGTATAGATTTTAAAGGCGTAAATCTTGTTATAAATTATGATTTTCCCCCATCTGCCATCTCTTACATTCACAGAATAGGTATGTATTGGTCAGTAAACCCACAATAAAAATAGAGCTGTTCTATTTCTTTGACAACTGTTTTTAACCATTCTTCTTTTCCTCCCTTCTTATTGTTAAAATATGTTCAGCTAGAAATAGTAGCCTTTCTTCTCTTTTGGTATTGTGTAAGCTATTATTGTATTGTATGTTGCTAACAATAGAAAAAGGTCATGCTCTCGTATAGAATGGAGATAATATAACATGATGAATGTAAAGAATGGATATTATCATTCACTAAGATATCTACTATCTTGCCATTATATCACAGTATTTTCATATTCCAAGAGTACATTCAAAGAAATAGAATGATCTGTCAAGCTATTTCTTACTTAAACATCTTACGTTTTCCGAAACAGGTCGTACCGGTCGTGCCGGTCACAAGGGAAAGGCAGTAACGTTTTTCACTCAACAAGATACGGTGAATTTACGGAGGTATATATTGATTCTTCTTTCATATATGTATACCTGTATATGTTTCAATAAATAATATTGGGTTGTCCGGAAATTTCGTGCCGAGTTTAAAGGAAAATTGAAACGCAGAAGATTTCAATTTTAGTATACATTTATTAAATTATATAGATTAGTCGGCACAAACTTTTCGGACAACCCAAATATTATTTATTGAAACATAAAACTCGTTTCTTAGTATTGCGACGGTTTTGCGAGCCTCTGGATGCGACGTACCGGATTACATGTTAGCCATGAAGAAGCACAGTAAGAAGGAACGACGTAAGCTCGAGCGTACGGCACCCATGCGTGAAAAAATATTAACCGTGCCTACATATAAACGTAAACAGAAATCATGCGTCAAAAAGAAGTCAGAGTTGGAAAAAGAAATGTAAGTGTAAATATGATATTCGTTTTTTTTTTAATGTGAAATAAGTGGGTGGTAATAGGGTCTTTTTATAAAAAGTAAAATATTTTTTAAAAAGATCTGCGTACAAAAGATTTAGAAATTGTTTGTAAATAATTTATTGTATCAATACTTACATATAAAATTTATAAATCTATAATTGTTTATAAAATTATATATAACACATTCCTTAACAATAATGTTTTAACAATAATATGAAATTTTATACAATATTTGTCATGGCATATGTACAGAGATTACTTTGAAATTCTGTTCTTAGAAGATCTAGGAAATATTGTCTAAGTGCTGGACATTTGATAGAAAATCCAGACGCATTAGGCACTTTTAATATATCCTAACTGTATATTTTTATTGCACAGTTTCATTGTACGTTAGGAATTCTTATTATACCTACTTATGCAATCTATGTTTCAAATAACCAATCGCATGGCAATTTTGGCATTTTATTCGCTGGCCATGGAAGATATCCTGCCGTTTTGAACACCCAGTAATCGTAAGACACTTTGGCAATCAAGCCTATTAAAAGTATCACTTCGGTAGCGATAATATAATATATGTAGTCCGTCCAATCTCCCGGATACACGCACATTTTCGATGGCTCTAGATCTACAACTTTTTCCTTTACATTTTCGCACATTACTTCATCGGAATCCAATATCCGCGTTTGTAACCACGCCTGAAACGAAAAGTAAAAAAAAATCCTTTAATATTATATCTTATACTTATCTGTTTCTTTTTTATAAACATTATACTGTACCTTTAAATGTTTAGCAGTATTACAATCACAATGCAACTTGTTGCCTCCTAATCTGACTAAATTTCTCGAGCTCAAGAAGTTCTTATGATGTGCGCTTGGACTTAATATGTATGTTGGCAGCTAAACATATTATAATTAAGATATGTTAATGCTAATTGGATATCATCGAAGAATTAAATATATATTTCTTTGTTTACTGACTTTACTTACTACTTTAATTTTATTGTACCGTAAACTCAAGATAGCATAATTATCCAAAAATTTAGAACCTTCCAATTTATTTATCGATGAGATATTATTATAATCCGCATAAAACTCTCGTAGATCCTCGTAACGTGGATTAGTACTGAGATCATCTAAAACTGTAATCTAAAAGAAAAATTCAGAGAAAATTTGCATTATAAAGTCCATACGCGATAAATAATGTAGAACCTTATCTAACATGTCGCGCATACATTATTATAGGAAATGTTCAGGGCTATAGTGTTTTGTGGTAATTTTTCGGGTAGCTCCGTCAGCTGCATTCCACTGCAATCTACACTTACAGCGTGTGTAGGTGGTTTACCTTCGATAATGTCTAGTCTTCTAATATCACACTGACATTGCCAGGTATCACCTTTCGGACATTCTGTTTGCAACTAAAAAGATCAAGATTAATTCTAATTATATCTTATATATAAAATTTTATACAAGAGTGTTACATTTGTTAAAACATACCAAACTGAGATAAAGAACCTGCGAAAGAGGCACTTGTTCAGTAGTATTAAACCAATGCCATGTTGCCATGGAAGAACACACTGTCTCATTCTCGCGATTAAATGTGATTTGCTTTTCGCCAGTTTTATTGATATAATGATATACGTCATGACACGAAAGTTTATTCGTTCCTATAGAAAAAAAAATGTTAATAAGTATATGTTTAATTAAGATAACAAGATTGAACAGCAGCTTGTTTACCAGAGATGTCTAACCAGAATTCTCGGCCATTCATCGTATTTAAAGCTGGAAGGTAAGTGAGTTTATTATAAGACAGATCCAACGTAGTGAGTTGCACCAAACGTGTCAGCGAATTATTCTCTACCTCGCGCAGCTCATTATTTGAGAGATTCAGACATTGTATGGGTGTCATCATGCGAAACTGCCCTCGTAGTCGATTAATCTTGCCATCGGTTATGGCCAGAGATTTCAGCATCCTCCAACGAACTTCACTTACATTAAATACATCCAACGTCGCGTTACGTATGTGAACGTAACTTATATTTGAATGTTGAAATCCTAAGACACAGTAGCGAAAATACTTGAATATATATACTATTGGATAAATTAAAAGAAAAAATTCTTGCATTACAATTCTTACCTATGCAAGAGAGACCATCTTCTAGACTTTGTTGATCTGTATTACAGCAAAGCGCAGCATTTCCCTCAGGTACATTTGCAAGAGTGATCCTCTTACAGGGACATCTTGAATCCGAGGTCGGACAATCTATCGGGTGTCTGTAAAAACACTGTTCTGGAAGAGAATTCGAGACTCCACTTGCACTTGACGTCTGCTGATCCTCCTCTGTACGTGCACTGGCTACTCCAGCATAAAGGCAAATTACTAAGGCTAGCCACTGCATCTGCATTCAATATATATAATTATATATCGTGCATAATTTTTTACAAAATATTTATATATCTAGAAGGTAAGAAATTACCTTTTTTCAATCTTGCTGCAGTTAAATATGTATTCGTACAATAGTGTTATTGTTTTGTTTGGTATTATGCCTTGTAATTGTACCTGTAGAAAAGCGTTACGTGTTTTGCGACTGCAATTAACGCGATGTAACGGCGTGTTTTCCCTTCTCCCGAGCTAATTCAATGAACATACTTGATTGCTCGCGGGCCTCGCTTTGCCGCGGCGGGTGACACAAATGAATTAATCCGTTTAATCCCGACCAACACTCCGGGTCGCTCGGGTCGGCCTGTTGATGAATCGCGATTGCTCGGTCGAGCACTTGGCCGCGTTCATTACACTCGTTTCACTTGCTCGAACCGAGTACGTCAATTATATGATAAAAAGAGAAAAACATGTATGCCTATCGTTATCAGTTTACTGAATAATTGAAATGAAATATTATATTATATTCTGTTTACGGTGTCATCAACAATAATACGAATTATAATCGTCGTTGATTTACATTTTACGTTTTACACTACAATTTCTTTAACTTCTATTTTCGGCTAATTGTTATTTTTAGAAAAATTGTATAAATAGAGAATATTCAATGACAAACGATTTACATATTTTTATCAGTTTGAGAAGATTTAGTGGTTCCGAAGATAATTGAAAAACTCTATTACCGAATGTACATAATCTTAATAATGATAATTTTTGTCGTTTTGAAATTTTATATAATTATAATTTATATACGGATTATACATTTTATAATTATTTTGATATTTTGCAAGGTTAACATGAAATTATTTTTACTTATCCAATTAATTATATATTTATGCAGATTTTTATGCATTAACGTATTAATATCAACAAATAATAAGTATATTTTCTTTCATATTGATTATAGGTACTTAGTTGGTAAAAAATATTTTTATTAAATTTTGCATATTATCTTTATGACATATATCTTTTAAACATTAATTCTCATTATGCCTGGAATATTTATATTTATTTATTTCAATGCTATCCAAGATTTATAAAGATTTGAACAATTATGACTCGACATATATTTCTTTCTTCTTCAAGCTGAATAGAAAAAAAAAAGTAATAAGCATAAATACTGATATCAGTGTCAGAGTTAGAAATCTTGGGAACAGCTGATTCAGTGCTTATTATTTATTTAGTATATTATTTGCACAATATAAAAAAATTTAAAAATTCGAGCTTTGTGATGACCTCTATTGGTCACTCGCGAAATGTCTCGCGTGTTGATGCGGTTGGAAAATGTACGAAAATAGAAATAAATAAAAATACGCTCTTTGTCTCGAGCTGTATCGAACGTAAACATTGTATCAAGGGAAATTTGATACGATGCAATGACATATATTTATCTCAACATATTGCGAGTAAATTCGGCCTACCAACGTCCAGCTGACATTTGAATATGGATACGTGTTCATGGGGCACGTATCAGCGATATGACGATGAATGGCCGGCTTGTAACCTAAAAACGTAAATTATTATCACATGTACGATTATCTCGTTAATTGTTCGCACGTATAATTAACATCTCTTCTCGATGTGATAGATCGACGGCGGAGTACGCGGTATGTTAGAAACGAAGGCCTGTGACGATGGACGACACGTACGAGTTGAACCTGAAGAATCTAGCCGGTTGGATCGCATCCTGTGCATTGATCTTTGGCGCGGTTGTACCCTATGTACCACAATACAAGGAAATCAAAAGGAAGGAAGATGCTGAAGGATTCTCTCTTTATGTTTGCCTTACTCTCCTGATCGCCAACACGCTTCGTATACTATTCTGGTTTGTATCTGCCAGAGACATGATGTGTCTTCCAACAAGCAACACAAATGACATTGTGGTCAAAGTCTTGCTACAAATGTTTTAAAGCGTTTAATAGACCAATTAGAAGAAAGAATTTTACAAATTGACCAATTAAAAAAACGCTTCAAACGTTTGTAGCATCGTGTTGACCTGTACCTTGTGGACACATTGGATCATTACATCCTTGTTGTTTGCCAATGTTAAACGAAGATGACATGTGTGTGTCTTCCAATCCACAAGCGACACAGTGATTACATCATCTTTGACATTTAACATTGGTAAACAAGAATATAATGATCCATTGTATCACATTGTTTCACTTGTATCCCTTGTTAAAAGGCATACTATTTGTCATGTTTCCTTTTCTAACAGACTCCATAAAAACTTTTACTGCTTAATATAATTTAATATATTATTCATATATTATTCTTGTATATAATATTTTAATAATGTTCTGATATTTTGCATGTCTTCACGTCTTCACAGATTACCTTGAATTTCCATTTTAACCCTAGACCACCTGAGTAAAGGACAATTGTTTTTCAAAGAGTTTTTAGTTTCAAATAATTTGAAACTACTAGTTACTCTTTCAACACTTAAGAATAGGATGATTGTACAGTTGTATGACCTGAAACATTTTTTTACTTATTCTATATATATTTAAATCTGAGACTGAATCGACAAAATAATTCAAAGTTGATCAATCATTTGGATCTTTAAATCTTCACTCTATGGAGAGTGAATACATGTTTATTATTATATGATGACAAAAATATATCATTGATGATGTGTCTCCATGATATCATGGAGATCATGTGTCTCCAAATACTGATACTATACATTCTCTTTACAGGTTTGGCAAACGTTATGAACTTCCGCTTTTGTTACAAAGTATACTTATGATTCTGGCAATGTTTGTTATGATTAAACTTTGCATTAATGTACAAAACAGAACACAGATAATCAAAGCAAAAGAGCGTGTACTTACAGGTGAATATATCTTATTATTGCAGATATATATAGATACTGATTTGTATATACATATAAATACCTGCATTTATAGGTAGCGAATTTTTACACTTTGCAGATTTGGATGCTAGATTCTTTTGGAAGTGGACAGATTTCAAGTCCTACTTGGGTTTCATGGTTTTGTTCGCTGGCGCAGGTGGTGTGATAACATATTTATTTCTGGATATACCGATATTTATTGAAATTGTTGGATTCTTAGCAGTATTGATAGAAGCTATGCTAGGAGTTCCTCAATTTCTTCGCAATTCGTCAAACAAGTCAACTGTAGGAATGAGGTGAGGATTAGATATTATACAGAAAAAAAATAAACTATGTAAATTATGCATATATACATTTAATTAATATTTTACTGTAATTTTAGCATAGCAATGGTGGCAATGTGGACCGTGGGAGATATTTTCAAAACATGTTACTTTATTTTGAGAGATACTCCCGTGCAATTTCAGGTGTGCGGTGCCATTCAAGTCACGATCGATGTTGCCATTTTAGCACAAGTATACCTTTACAAGACTAATAATAATGTACATACAAGAGCTCCAACGAGATCGGATTGAAGATCATTTTGCTGTCGCTGTCTATTGAAAACAGAACTTTCCGAACAACAATAATATTTCGCCTAAGTCTAAATATATAGATTTTTAACTTTTTAATAGTGATCTAGTAAAATATAAAAAGAAATTATATTTTTATATTGACTGATCGTCATCAAACACATTTATATGTATTTAAGTTTCTTAATATTTATCGAACAAAGTGTAATTAATATTTTGATAACAATTTTAGTATTTATCGATATTTAATATATAAACATACAATTTATTTTATAAAATTCATATCTCATTATATTAATCATTCCATTCTATGCCAAATGTAATCATCTGTTCCTCATATACAATTTTAAATGTTACTTTTAAATGTTATTATTGATTATAAATATAATCTTATTGAATTATATTAATTGTATAGCTACATATGCATATTCCCATGTTATTAATGAGAGTACCAGAATACAAATGGCGGGAGTCCGTTAACACGTGTCCGTTGCTTAGTGACAGATCATCAACAAAACTTCACTTCATGAATAAAGTGGAAGACTGTGGCAGACATGGCATAGCTCCCGTCTAAAGAGAAAATGGAAAATTTTTAATATCATCGAATCACTTTGCATTGCTCAAAATTTTTTAAGAGAATTTTCTTTTGCTCAATAATTATCTTTTATTATTATAGTTATCGAGAATCGTATATTTGAATTTTTCGTCAGAAATGACAAGATGTGTGAAGAAGCAGGTTAATCTAAAAAGCAGCAGTAAGTGTTTATAATACGTATGTAATAGTATTCTAATTCATAATTGTAATATTAAAAATTTTATAAAAAAAATGTAGCTTATAATCAAACGGGACAGAATTATTTTGAACAATTGGCAGCGTATAATTCAATGAGCTTGCATCTACGACGGGTTTTATTGGCAAGAAGCGTAGTTGATACAAGAAATAAAATTTATTTGAAAAGAATTCAGCGATACAAAGTGCAAAGAGCTTATGATTGCGAAGTCTGTTTGCATCTGGATGATGTCATTGATAGATTGGCCTATGATACTCAACATCATCCCATGGTAAAGTTCAGTACAGCTAACATATCAAAATTATAAATTAGAATGAATGTAACAAACGGATAGATTTCTACAATTATTAAGCTAATCGGTGATTTTAGCGATTAAGAATTTGCTACTTTTTGAAATCAAAATGATTTTTTAAATGTGTGCTTTGAAATTTTCATGTAGGATATGTTAGAAATATGTTTAAACGCGAAGCATCTGGACGTTTGCAATTGTAATTTAGATCAATTGAAAGCTTGTAGTAATCACACATGTTGTGACGAAACCGATCAAATGGATCGACGGCAACAATCAACATCAAAGAATCGAAGAATAACATCACCATGTTCGCTGAAACGTAAAAAATTTTCAGAATCAAATTTTATTTGCAAAAAGGAACAGAAATCTACGCGAGATGTCCCTAATATAGTCAATCCATCAATATGCTTTTTGCAACAGAGGTGAGTTCGTATTAAAGATTCAAATTATTAATTTTATTCAACTTCCTCCCTCTCCCATAAAAATTGTTGCTGTAACTTTCAATATATATATGTATATTTTTTTATAAATATGCTAATTATCTATATTTAAAATAAATTACATGAGATTTACATATACAGGGTGTCCCAGAATAACTGCCAAATATTTCGTGTGTTGGTAGAGCGGAACTAAATTAAAATTGCAAAGCCCTTTATTATTTTGCAATAGTTAACAAGATATTAATTACTAAAAATTTTTGAATATTAATTTTTAATAATTTTTTATTCAGGTACTATCAACTTTATAGAAAGCTAACAAAAATTATTTTTTTTTTTTCTCATAGAGTTCTGAGAATTTTTTCAGAATTTTTTAGTACCGTATTTTCTCATGTTGATAAAAATAGTTGTTAGTAAAAATATATGTATATATAAGAAAATGCAGTACTAAAAAGTTGATAAAAAAATTCTGAAGGAATTCTTAGAACTCTATGAGAAGAAATTAAACAATTTTTGTTTCTTGCTGTTTTTCTGTAAAATTGATAGTACTTAAGTAAAAAATTATTAAAAATGAATGTTCGGCGATTTTTAATTATTAATAATCTTGTTAACTATTGGGAAAATTGTAAAATGGTAGAGGACTTTTTGACTCAGTTTAGTCCTATGCACGAAATATTTGACGATCATTCTGGGATATCCTGTATATTTTTTATAAGTATTATAATTATCTATGTTTAAAATACATTACATACTCGAGATTTATCATATATATATATATATATATTTTTTTTTTTCATTTCATTTTTCATTTTTGTAGAAGGTGCAGATACGAAAAAGAGCTCCCATCTCCTTGCGCAGCTACTAGATTAAATTCAATGATGTTTAAATCAAGATCTCAATCCCCAGAACAAAATTCACAGACAAAAATCGATTATCACACGGTATCTTCAAGTGACTCGCAACATTACAATTTTTGCGATGAAAAATATATCAAAGAGTCCAAACAATTCACAAATCCAAACAATTCTCAAAAAGAAGAAGAGAAAAAATATATTAAATTTGTTTATAACATTACCAAAGAAATAATGCAGAGAGGTCTTTATACTGATAAAGAGTTGCAGGATGTATTTAAGAAGCACATTAATCAATATAAAGGAATATTAAACATGGTATTAAACATAAATAATAAAATTGCCATAAATGTAAAAGAATACTGTTTTAATATCTTACAATTTCTTAAATATTATTGGTATCTCCCTCAATATTTATCAATATATTATCTTTATGGATTTTCTCTTTTATTTCAGAATAAAATGCTGTACGAGATTTATCAGTTAAAGATCTCCTTAAATATGGCGGATTCAGACACTGACGAAGAACTAGAAGATTTGATCCATGCGCAAACATTATTAAATATATCTGAGATTAGGCCACCTACGCCGCCGAAGATTTTGAATGAAAATAAAGTGATGGAAAAATTAGAATCTTATCAGAAAATGATGAAAGCTGACAGATCTCCAAAATTTACTACGAAATCAGTGATGCTGGTCGATGCAAATCCTGAACTACTTATCACCGAAAGAGATGTGCTGGTATCGTTGGTAGAAGCAGGTGTAGATCCGAAACAAGTTCAACATATTTATAACAATTTACGTCACAAGAGTAGAGATATCAACCTCACTGAAGGGGTAAGATAATTCAACATTTTTCATTATTCCGAAAATAAATAATAATCTTTATTTAGACACAAATGGACGTGGAAACTTTATATTCTTCGGTCTTGAAAGTAGACAATTTAGAACTGGAAGACAACGACAAGCAGATTTCTGTGATTGCTGAAAGTGCTAATGATAATTCTGCCGTGGATCATTTAATTGAGTCTTCTGAAAAACAAGAACCGAGTTTAATATCGAATTTCGTATCCATGCAAGACGAGACAATGGAAAGAGGAAAAGACGAAAGAGAAGAAGACGGAAGAGAAGACGGAAGAGAAGAAAATGAAAGAGGAGAAGATGGAAAAGGAGAAGAGAGAATCTGAAATCACATCTGAACAGAATTAGCAAAATCGTAAACTGAATTAATGAATTTATTTCTGTTTCTTCGTTATGAACATTTGCTTTCAATGTCTTGCTCGTCATATTGTCCTTATAAATATCGCCCTCGAGTAACTTATTGTATTAGCAACTAAATAAACATTGGATATGCAATATTTAGTTCACACAGGAAAAAAAATAATTTATTTATCACTTGATAATATATCAGTGTTAGAAAACAAAGTACGCTGATTTTATTTCACATTCGTATATATCTTTTATTTATCTGTTCTCTTATATTGGATTTCACAATACATCTGTATGAGGATCTGTGGTTTGTAATTCGTTCAACAAGCTGAATTCTCAAGAGATAAAATATACATGAAAAAATAGGTACCATGTACATGTCTCACGTGTATCTCTATGTACAGATACACAAATGATACGCGTTTGTACAACAGGAAAATTCATATATTATGCAGATTTCTTAAATATACATATATTACATATATTAAGGTTTTTTTTAAGTGTATGTATACGGACAATAAAATAGTTGCATATGGTTGCCATGTATTATTTTGTTCGTTTATCTACAGCTACTAGCTCTGTTTGTGCATTTTGTTTTGTACATGAGTTTTGTCTCCTTCTTATTCGGTACACTACAATTATTTTAACTTTAAGAAGGTAACTTCGAAAAGGTAACTGAAAACATCTCACTTGGCATTAATTCGGTAAGTCATTAAATAACTATAAACATAACATGCGGTGGTTCTCTCGTCATTTAAAACAATTTTCATAAAGTGTTAATATATAATATTATCAAAATAATTGCATTTGTTTTAAATTCTGTGTGTGTATATGTGTGTTTTTCGTATTAAAGTATCATATGAAATATAAAGATAGTTTCTATAGCGTACAGATAAGGCATAACGTATTCCATGAAAATTTTGTAAAAGTTTGAAAATTGTAGAACTAATAAAATTATTAAAAACTTAAAAAAAAACAATTCTAATGTAAATCAATATATTAAATCTGAGTGCTATCGTATATATAAAACATATACAATAGAAAAACAATAATGCTAACACATACAACAAAAATCTAATAAATCTTGCTTAATAAGACATTAAATGCTTATAAGCATTGAGTCGCTTTTCATTCAAAAAAAAAATTAATATAATATGCATCTTCTCATTAGCTGCCATCAGATCCATTTGAAGAACAGTCTTCGAGTTCCGGCGCATTTGGACCTCTCTCCAATATGCGGAGGAGTTCTGTTATGTATCTTATTGTAAAATCTGGTTTAGGATCGTCCACCGAGAGACGAGGTTTATCCGTGGTAGGTATCCATACAGTTCCGTACAGTCCAGCCTCGATTCCACCTATTCGATAATTTTTCATATCATTTATACAATCTAATATCTTTTGAAAGAAATGTATTTCCGAAGATATTTCTGAAAGATTATAAAATTGTTAGAAGAAAATCTATTAAAAATACCTAAAATATCAGTCTCCAACTTATCACCGACCATGATGCACTCCTCGGGTCTTACTTTAAGAAAATGGCACGCCTTTTGAAATATTTCTGCTTCTGGTTTTTCCCACGGCAGATCACCGGATACTAGGATAATATCAAAGTATTGTTTCAATGACAGCTTCTGTATCTTCTCCCACTGAGCATTCGACGGTCCATTGGTGATTAGACCCAGCAGATATTTCTTCCTGAATTGACGCAGCATAGAAACTGTGTTTGGCGCCAGCATCATGTAGTGATATCTTAAATAGAGCCATCTTTCGTAAATTTTTTTTGCTAGATGCGAATACTTGTAGCCCAATGCTTTGTTCCAGAGGATGGTACGCCAAGCATCCAATGTGAGAGTTGCGTTGTCGGGACACTTTCTAAATTGCTTCAGATACGTGGCCGTTATCTTGGCGGACGCATCTTCCGGGATCCCATATTCCCGGTTCAATTCCTCAGTCAACTGCAGGTAAACGTACAATGTTAGCTCTCTTTTATTATAATCATATGTTTTGTGATAAAGAATGATGAGTGAAGAACTGAAAATAAAAAGGAAAAGATGAGGATAAAAGCAATTTCCACACTCAATAAAACTGTGCACGTAGATGATCATCGTGCTTGTATAGCAGAATTTCTCCTCGTTAGAGAAAAAGAGATTAGAATTGTTAGCAAAGCGATTTCTTGATAGACAAGATGTAAAGTAGAAGAGATAAATATTGAATGTGGAGTTCATTAATTAACGAAGATCTCAGGATGACAGGATACAGCGGTCAGTTAAGGATTTTTAGGACACTTAATTCATTATTAATGATTACCTAGAAAATGCATTGATTCATTGAAATACTCGAGCCGATTAGTGGACACTCGAAGTGGCATCCGCGGACGTTGCTGTAATCACAACAAAATGAGTTGTGCCAACAACAACAACATCATATGTTATTTCCAAAGCCTATAAGTTGTAGCTAAAAGATTTCTGGATATTAAAACATGAAACTTGTCTTTAAAAAAGATTACAATGCACACATAGCTTGCAGTTAATTGTTTCAAAATTATTTCCATTATCCAGTAATCTTTCTTTTAATACCTTTGTTAAAAATAACTTTATTAAAAACGTTAGACACATAAAGTGAAAGTGGATGATGGTGATGAAATCAAGCGAACGCTTACAAAATTTTTCTATTTAATAGGAAACTATTATTCTCATTACAAAATCTTTTCTCAAATTAAAACATCTTAGGATTATAGTAACATCAATACTATTACAATCTTCGCTTCCGCAATGTGGCAAAGTAAAAAGAAGCACATTTGATAATAACACACATACAAACGAAATATACATATTAAATCTCATGTATCTCCATATACATGATTTACTTAAAGAGTTTCTTCGAGCGATAAGTTTCTTAGTTTTCTTGCTTGCCAGGAAACTATTTCCAGACATGATGCTGTCTAAATATACACTGAATTGCGCGCACACGTATTTCGAATATCGTATGCAGGAGATGCGTAAAATAAATTAAATCGCAAGTCGCATACTACAGACTATTTTACAAAGATCTTAGTTCTTTATATAAAAGTTCGATTAATTGTTCGCCTTGCTTAATTAATTCTTCGCTACTTCCGCTATAATTCCGCATAATTTTTTTACATCGCTCGCGTAATATAAAACCAAAAAACTATACAATAATGTTCTCATTACTCAATCCTAATCTCCAAAGAGGCGCTTTCCAAGCTCCATCATGCGATGATTTCGACAGACAGTTAACGCGCCGCATTTTTTCAACACTGATGCGACGCTATCGTCAGCCTTCACCAAATGACACAGCAGATCCTCGAAGGCTGACTTGACATTCGGTTCCAGACCGCCAATCTTCACTCGTTTCAGCGTTTCGATGATCTCCTCCGCCCAGCCGGATTCTATCGTAAATTGTGACAACCAAGGTATCACTTGCAGCACGCCAGACATCGTCTGCATCCCCAGGAACCAGAGTTCCATTAGTTCCATCCAGTGTTCCTTGTAAGACATGGAAACTACCAGTTCGGTAGGATCATTGCTTTCATCGATTATGTACGCATCCCATAGGAATCTTATGGTAGCCTGAATGTAACGACATATCGAGAAATCATTTTTCTTGATACGTTTCGCCTGTTGCTTCATTAATAACAAGCCTAAGACTGCCAAATGACCGTGCAGCACCAGATTCTCCGGAATCTGCTTTAGCTCCGGCAAATTGTTGTAGATGAACTTCAGCAGCGAAATGAATGTCGGCGATTCCTCCACTAATTTTGCCTCCAGCACAGTGATGTTCATCAAGACATTGCAGATGGACACCATCGCGGTTCTAGAATCCTTCATTTCCTCCAGAATATGCAGATCCAGCTCCTCCGTGCGATTGCCATCTTGCAGAAGTTTTAGACGCTCCGATCTCGGCACTGGCGGCTTCTTATAGTGTACGATGGTCCAATGATAGGAGAGACACTCGAACAAGATTTCGTCTTGCTTATGCTGAAGAAGAATCTTTCTGGCAGCCTCTTCCACAGCCAAATAGCATAGAGCAGGCAATAGTAGTCTCAATACGTCAATCTCGCTTATTGGATCGTGAACGATTGGTTCTTCAGACGACGGTCCTTCATCTGCTTTAGCTTTACATTTGACTTTCTCGGCTAATTTCCTATTTCGATGCGCGTAAAAGGTATCGTTAGCCACCGTCAGCACGTATGGTAACACGGCGTAAACTTGCGGACGCATCGCGCTCGTTTCTTGTGCCATCCAAGCTGTAAGTACCCTGACAACGGCGCATATGAATAGCTTCTCTTTCACATTCGTCAATGTTTTCATCTTTGATACGGAACTTAGTAGACCGATAACAGCCGCGAAGGCGCCCTTCAAGGCCGTATATAAAGACTGTTTTTCTTTCTGCTCCAAATCCAGTTGATCTGTAACGATATAGCCGATTGAAATCTCGAGAATGATAAAGCAAGCCGTGATCAAATCGCTATTCTCGAGCACAGCTTTAAGTTGCTTGTCCTCTAACTGCATTCGGACTTCGATCGACGCCAATTGTATGAGCAGAAGGAAGAATATCTTTGGTTTTTCTTTGTCGGACATGGCCCAATCCGCGCCCAACAGATCTATCATCACAGACGCGAGTTTCAAAGCTGGATCCCGTTGCTTTTTACCTATTTTCGATCCTAGAATATCGCTTAGACCCTTGTGAATGCTCAACGGCCAAGATTCTTCCTTTGCATTCGTGGATATCACTTCTTTTCTGCAGGATTGCAATAAAGCCTGTAGAATGGCGCATAGCTCGAATTTTCTCTCTGTATGATCAGTTTCGAAGTCTAAAGCTATCTTATTCATTATAGCATGAAAGGGCTCAGTATCTGTTGGATTCCAAGCTTCTGGTCCAAACGTACTGACCAACGTGACTAGAATATTTAAAGCCTCATCCGTCTGAAAGGTCTTCTCCGCGTATATATCGCACATTTTTGGAATCGCTTTTTGCTCGAGCAACGCTTTCTGTCCAGGAGGATATTGTGCGATACACTGCAAGCAAGTGTAAGCCTCGCTGACGATGATTAGCATGTCGTCTGGCGCATCCTCGTCAGCCTGAGACACTATCTCCAAGAGTGCCGGGATATGTCCCACCATATCGGGATGAGAGGCTAATTCGGGATCTGTACAGAACGCGGAAAGAATGGATAATGCCACTGATTTATAGACTTGCGGTGGACAGTCCACAGGGACACTTGTGCTGGACAACAGCTTCTTGAGAAACTTAGCTCCGATGGTTTCAAAAAGCATTCTCTTGGCAGCAGAGTTGCAATCCTTGCCTTTCACCAGCTTGGTGACCATGAACAGCGCGGCGAACTTTTCCGAGTCGGTGTCCACCGCCTTTAGTATGGCCACGCACTTCGTGACACCCTCCGGGATACTCATGGTGTTCGACTGTTTAGAAAGAAGTAAAAAAAGAAGAAAAGAATGTGAATTATCTCTGAAGTCCAGCGGCAAAACTAATGCTCCAGTATCGACGTCGTCGATGTGTCCACGCCACAAGAAAGCAATTTCCGAAACCGTGCAGTTCTAAGAGGCGTCGGACCGGTTGTCGTGCTGTCCGTCGCGTATCATAGTTGAGAGCCAACTGGCAGAGTTCCCAGAACGGTCCTCTCGCTGCCTAGCCTTGCCCTTTGACACACTCACCGAAGTGGCCGAAAATAACTAACGGAGGATGCGGAACACGTGCGCGTGTCTGCCGCTGGCAACTGCTTCGTCATTAAAACTATCTCTTTGAAGTGTATCGGGAATTCCGTCCCGAGGCGTGTCGGTAACCTTAAAACTACCACGATTAATAATGTCGGAACAATGCATTAAATAGTCATCGATCAATCAGTTAGAATGTCTTTCAGAATCATTTCTGCGTGCAATAACAACAAAACATATTATCCCACGACGCAAGTTTTCCTTTAGGAAAATTTCTTGGTTAGAAATAATTTTCTTGATCTTGAGCAGGCATATCTCGACTCGTTTCGTGACCAACTTCGTGGACTTTGCACTGCTTTGCATGATCCGAGGAAAATCCGTCCACATTCAGCTGCACTTTTCTGCACTTTTCCGCGTCCAGCGAGACGAGGGTTCACATCGATTCGCTGGGGAGAGACGTGGAAAGGCGAGAAAAGAACGATTAAAACGAGGAGATTTAAAATCTCTCGCAAGAATCTGCGCGAGAATCCGCGCGAGGGTGCGAGATGCGGCGCCGAGAATAGCCTGGAACAGCCATCGCGTCGCAAAGAAAGCGCTCTATATCGGGGAATCGGCTCGTATTACACACGGGACGGGGAGAAGGGAGAGCGACTTCTATTCTTGCGACACGAGTGGCAAAACGTCGTGGGAGAGTGCGACTTCTCGCGAAGAGCTTAGCACGCTTGCCCGATTTCACGGCGGCAATCGGTCTGGTCTCGCTCTAGGAAAAACGGAGTAAATCGCTAATCAGATTTGGGGGAGTGGCGGGGGGAAAAAAGGGTTGATTCTTTAGGTAGTTCTTAGGTTAAGACGTGATCCTCCCGTACCTTGCGGCAAGTCTGACTGTCCGCTCTCCTAGTTTCCACGAGAGTATTGTCCAAATCGAAGAAGACGGCACTCAGAGACACGCTGGATGAGAAGGACCGTGAATTACGTCGCTCGCGGAATGTAGCTTCCATCGCCATTCCCTGTGACAGTGTAATGACGGCGCCAATTGAGCGCATAAAGTGCTACAAAGAGCGCTACCTCATTATCAATTTGTATATTGCACCATGAACTAATAAGTTACTTGATTGACCACAACTTGCAATTGCGGTACAAATTAGGCTCCGCTCAATAAAAGGAACAGGGAACAGAGAATAAAAATTTCAATTTATCAGAAATATGTATTGTGGAATAGAAATGGTTTAAAATAATTTTTGAATGGTAAAATTCAATTTATAAAATTAATTTTTCTAATTGGTCAACCAAACACTTCAAAGCATTTATAGCGAGACTTTAGGCGATATTCATAGTCTGTTGTTACTTTAAGACTGTTTTAAGTCATGTCTTAAGATGCTAATGCAACTTTCAAATTAAATTTGAGTACAAGA